CTCCTCTTCCTCCTACTCGTCCTCCTCTCGGCCTCCTCCTCCTCTCGTCCTCCTCCTCCTCTCGTCCTCCTCCTCCTCTTCCGACTCCTACTCTCGTCGTCCCCCTCCCCCTCCAATTCCTCTCCTTCTTTCCCTCCTCCTCCTCCTCCTCCTCCTCGTCTCGTCCTCCTCCTCCTGCTCCTCGTCTCGTCCTCCTCCTCCTTCTCCTCCTTATCCTCCTTATCCTGTCCTCCGGTTGCGCGCGCGCACGCGGGATGGCATGGATATTAGCAGCAGCGGGGGTGCTTCTTCGCGAATGCCTGCCTCAGAACCCCCACAGCGGGGGCATGCGTCCCACTCCAGGCGGGCGGCGTCCCACGACAGGTTCACGGGAGGGTCAATGGGGTTTAGCGCGGTTTTTTCATGGAGTATGATGTTGGTGTTGACATTGATATTGCTGATGATGGTGATGATGTTGATGCTGATAATGATGTTGATCGCGATGATGATGATGCTGTTGATGATGATGGTGAGAATGTTGATGCTGATGCTGATGCTGATTTTGTTGCTGATGATGGTGACGATGACGAAGACGATGACGATGATGATGATGATGCTGATGATGAGCATGATGATGATGCTGATGATGGTGATGGTGATGGTGATGATAGTGATGATGAGCATGATGATGATGCTGATGATGGTGATGGTGATGATTATGATGATGATGATGATGATGATGATGACGATGACGATGACGATGCTGGCAATGATGATGCTGATGATGAGTATGATAATGTTGATGCTGAAACTGTTGGTGATGCTGATGCTGATACTGATGTTGCTGATGATGCTGATGATGGTGACGATGCTGATGATGATTATGATGCTGATGATGATGCTGATGATGATGATGATTATGAAGATGATGATGAGGATGATGGCGATCATGGTCATGATCATGATCACGCTGAGGATCATGATCATGGTGGTGATGCTGATGAAGATGATGATGCCAGATGATGATGATGATGATGATGATGATGATGAAGAAGAAGAAGACGAGTCATTAGAGGAGGAGGAAGATGTGGAGGATGAGGAGGAGGAGGAGAAGAAGGAGGGGCAGGGGAAGGGGGAGGGGAAGGGGGAGGAGAGGAATAGGAGATGGGAGGGAGGGAGGGAGGGAGAATGAGGAGGAGAAAGAGGAGGGCGAGGAGGAGGAATAAGAGGATGAGAGGGATGAAGATGATGATGATGATGATGATGATGATGATGAAAGTGATGATGATGATGATGATGTTGATGATGTTGACGATGATGATGATGGTGATGGTGGTGATGAGGATGGTGTCCCGATGATGATGATGATGATGATGATGATGATGATGATGATCATGATCATGATCATGATCATGATCATGATGATCATGATGATGCTGATGTTGACGATGATGATGATGATGATGATGATGGTGGTGACGATGATGGTGCCCCGATAGAGATGGTCTTGTTGATGATGATGTTGTTGATGATGATGGTGTTCCGATGGTGATGATGATGGTGATGTTGATGATATTGCTGATGTTGATGATTATCATACGATTCGATGATGATGAAGAAGATGATGATGATGATGATGATGATGGTGTCCCGATGATGATGATGAGGTTGATAATGATGCTGTTGATGATGATGGTGATGATAATGATGGTGTCCCGGTGACGATGATGATAACTATATCATGACGATGATGGTGTCCCGATGATGATGATGTTGATTATGAGGATGATGATGAGGTGATGATGATGGTGATGATAATGATGGTGTCCCGATGGCAATGATGATAATTATATCATGACGATGATGGTGCCCCGATGATGATGATGTTGATTATGAGGATGATGATGAGGTGATGATGATGATTTTGATGATGGTGGCCCAATGATGATGATGATGTTGATGATGATGGTGTCCCGATGATGTTGATGATGATGGTGATGATGGTGATGATGGTGACGATGATGATGGTGTTCCGATGACGATGATGTTAATGATGATGTTGCCAATGATGATGATTGTGTCCCGATGATGATGTTGTTGTTGATGATGATGATGGTTTTGCCCATGATCATGATGATTCGATGATGCTGGTGGTGGTTTTTCGATGATGATGGTGGTGTCCCGATGATGATGATGATGTTGATGATGATGATGGTGACGATGATGGTGTCCCGATGATGATGATGGTGGTAATACTGACGTCGATGATGATGGCGATGAGGTGATGATGATGATGGTGTCCCGATGATGTTGATGATGATGATGATGTTGATGACGATGATGTTGATGATGACGTTGGTTGTGATATCGATTATGAGATCGAGTGTGAGATCGATTGTTAGACCCAATGTGAGATCGATTGTGAGATCGATAGTGAGATCGATAGTGATATCGATTGTGAGATCGATAGTCAGATCGATTGTGAGATCGATCGAATGAAATAGGCCGAGTGATATCGATTGTGAGATCGATCGAGTCGCTCGAACGAGTGATATCGATCGAGCAAGACCGATAGTGGGATCGATAGTGAGATCGATCGTGAGATCGATAGTGAGACCGATCGAGTGAGACGTTGGTTCCTCCCCCCCGAACCTCCTTACCACCCGAAGGGTGGTCGTATAGGTGTGTGTGTATATATATATATATATATATATTTGTTGAAGCTCGCTGATTAATGATATGCAAAAGACCGAAACACGCCGTCAACACCGATCTGTAGTTTTTCCTGGCTCGAGCCCCCCCCTCCCCGGGGGGCAGGGGGGGAAACGGACCAGGGGCCCTTGATGCTGGGCCAGCTTGCCCAGGCCGCCGTGCTGGGGGTGGCCAACCTGGGCGGCGCGTGGTTGGGGAAGTGCCAGCCGCCACCGTGCCCAGCCTCGCCGGCCTGCCCGCCGGCGGGCGCTTGCACGTGCCCGCCAGCGCCGGCGGTCACGTGCCCGCAGGTGAGCGTCACCTGCCCGGCGGTGCCGGCCGTGGAGGCCCGCGCCTGCCCCGAGGCGCCCGCGGCGCCAGCGTGCCCGCCTCCGCCCGCGTGCCCACCGAGCACGTGCCCGGCGGAGGCCGCCGAGGCGCTGGGCCGGCAAGATTGCTGGCCGGAGACGCGAGTGGCGCTGAGCTTCACGTGCGGGCTCGGCGGCGTGGCGGTGCTGGTCGGCTTCGTCCTGGGTACGTGCTGCGCGAGGCGCCATGCAGGCGCGGGGCCATCCGCAGGGCACCCTGCATCTGGCCGGTCGCAGCTGTCTGGTGAACTACGGGGCCGCGGAGTGGCACTGGAGAGTAGTGCTCGCCGGACTGGTGTCCTCGGACTCCCGGGCCCTCATCCTGACGCCGGATGGTGACATGTACATTGAGGACTTCAATGACGCCGTCGCCGTGCGTTGGTTGGGCCCGAACAACGAGGTGCCAGAGGGCGTGCCGCGGAACCTGATCAATCACTTCGGTCAGTTCCCGTCGGCGGCGACGCTGCGCTGACTGATGCAGGAGGGTGCCTACACCGCTGGGCTGCAGGATCAGCGCCGCGGGTACGGCATCGCCGTGTGGGGAGCTGGAGGTGCCGCTGGCGCCGCGGGCGGCGCTGCCGCCGGACCGGCCGTGGCCCAGGCGGGTGGGGCTGGTCGCGTGGCGGCAGGCGCGCCCGCCTACGTGCCGGCCCAGCCTCCCGCGCCGGGGGCGCCGGGCGAGGGCGAGGACGACGGGCCGGGCCCGGCGGCGCTCCAGGGCCTCATGGGGGTCGGCCGCGACTTCCGGCCGCCAGCGCGGCCGACGGTGCAGCCGGTGACGGTCCACACAGTGCGTTGGGTGGCGGCTGAGAGCGTTGAGTTCCCTGGAGGCAGCGTGGGCCGAGGAGATGACGTGGCGTTCAACGGCTCGGAGATGGTGTCGGGCCGAAAGGGGGTGATCGTGCTGATGGGGGTGTCCGTGCTGATGGAGGACATCGGCGACGCGGATGTGGAGGCCTACAGGTCGAAGGAGGCCCACCACGACGCGAGGTTGCTGAAGTTGCAGAGGGACTCCCGAGGCGACCGACATCGTCCCTGGCGTGACGTGGCCCGTGATGCGAGCGCAGTGAAGCAGACGGACTGGCCCGTGCCGGGCCCACAGACGGCAGAGTGGTGCACTAAGTTCCTCGATCGACTGAGTGAGGGGCCCGTGGGCTGGGATCGGCGCTGGCGGGCCGACAACAGGCTGTCCATGGACCAGTGGGGGGTGTCCGAGCACGAGACGCTGGCGAAGATCCTCGAGCGCTTGGGGACCCACGACCAGTGCGACGTTGTGAACCTAGCGGCGGCGGAGGACATCGTGCGGCGGATGCAGGTCATCGAGTACTTCTACTACGAGGTCCATCGGCAGTCGGACTCCAGCAAGCAGCAGGACAAGAAGGGCGGCAAGGGTGCGCGCCTCGAGGAGATGGCCGTCTTCTCGGGGAAGCATCGTGAGTACGGCGAGGTGATGGTGGCGCCCGAGCTGCTGACCTACGTCGCCTCCGAGCTGGAGCGGGACTCTGGCATCATGAGGCAGATGAGGAAAGCCCGCGAGGAACGGCGACTCGCGGGCAAGCATGACCAGTGAATGGGGCCGCCGCGGGAGTCCCCGTTCCCGCGGCGAGTGTGCAGGGGGGCCGCTGGAGATGAGCCCCAGCGCGGCCGATGTACGTGGCTCACATGAGGGCAGGGTTGTCAACCGTGATCTGCTTCCTCTGCCTCACTACCGCCTGCCGAGCACGAGCAGCGACGATGGCGGCCAGCCAAAGTCTCGTCGGGGGCGACGCCGCCGAGGGGAGCGAGCCCATTGCGAAGACTGGGCTCGCTGCTGCGCGATCACGCTGAACGAGCTCGACCGCGGGTCTGCTGATCCGCAACCTCAGGGACAGCGGGCCAGTGCCGGGCAGGAGCGCAGCTTGGGGATGATCCAGGCTGCGGTAGCTGAGCTCGGACGGCCGCCCGCCGACCTGACTCGCCAGGGGGCCCTCGCGGAGCTCCTGGCCAAGCGCAGCTACACCGGCGAGAAGGTGTCTGTCGCTCGGCTCGACATTTCTCTTTTGTCTCTGCCTGCTGGTGGGGGCGGTCCTCGGGCGCTGACTACTTTGCTCGGGGATGAGGGTCCAATGGTAGTCGACGCCTTTTTAAAAGACAAAGTTTTGCCTCCATCGGAGGCGGCGGCGCGGGTGGCCGAGTCGGCCTTGAAGCGCCCATGCTACGATCCTTCGCTGCAGGGGAGGCCGCGCCGGTATGCGCGACTCCTTGCGGCCCTCGACGGCGCAGGCATGCTCGAGTGGAGGCGGCGTGGATCGCCCCGGGTAGGCCTGTTTACTGTTTGGAAAAAGAACGGCAAGCAAAGATTGATTGTGGACGCGCGTTTATCCAACTTGTGTTTCGCCTCTCCTGATCCGGTCGACCTGGCCACTGGCGGATCGCTCGCGCCCCTCGAGGTTGACCCGGGGCCCCCAGTGTGCCTCGCCCAGGTCGACATCCAGGATGCCTTTTACCACCTCCTCCCCCCTCCTGAGCTCGCCCCCTTACTCTGTCTCCGCCCTGTCACGGCCGGACTCGCTGGAGTCTCTGAGCTCGACGGCGCCGCTGTCTCTCCGACCCAGCTCGTGTACCCCCACCTGCGTGTTGTGCCGATGGGTTGGAACCATGCTTTGTGGTGGTGCCAGCGAATTCACGAATTTCATGCCTTTCGACAGCCCGGCGTGTTCCTCTCAAACAAGCTCTCGGATAAGAAGCCCGGGGTGCGTCTGGGCCGCTCGGGGTTTGCTCACACGGAATACGTGGACAACTTCGCGGCCATCGGGCGTCAGGCCAGTGAGGTCGATGCCGTGGCCGATTCCGTTCTAGACGCCCTGACCACCGCGGGGCTCTGCATGCATCCTCGTGAGAGCTCGGTTGGCGGGTCCGTCTTGGGTTGGGAGTTTAGTGACGAGTGCCCTCAGGTTCGTGCGAGCCCTCGCCGAGTGTGGAGGCTCCGTCTCGGCATAGAAGGGCTCCTAGAGAGGGGCTTCGCCACTGGTAGGGACCTCGAGGCCATCATTGGACATTTCACGTTTGCCGCTCGAATTCGGCCTGAGGCCCTGTGCGTGTTCTCCGCTGCGTATGCCTTCAGTCAGCGGGGGGCCGACACTCGCCGTAGGTTGTGGGCTGCCGTGCGGAGGGAGCTTCGTTGGGCAGTAGGTCTCCTCCCCCTCCTCCGTCGTCGCCTCGATGCCGATTGGAGCTCAAAGGTGCGGTGTACAGACGCCTCCCCTTGGGGTCGGGGGGTTTGCTTGGCTGAGCGTGACGCTCGGTCCATCGCGGAGGCTGGCCAGTGGTCGGACCGGTGGCGCTTCTCGCGGGGGGCCGAGGATCGCGTTCGGCCGAGAGACGCCTCGCTCCGGGAGGAGCTGAACTTAGCCGCGGCGGCCGGTCTGGACGACCTGGATCGTGTCGGGACGGCTCGGCACCTGGAAGCCCTCGGCGAGGCGGATCGGAGTGGGGCCGTCCCGGAGATCGGGCCCGAAATCCTTGAGGGATCCTGGACCACCATTTCGGCCGGCCGCTGGATGCGACGGGAGGCGATGCCCATCTTGGAAGGGCGCGCTCTGGTCTGGGGGGTCCGACATGCGAGCCGGGGTTTAAGCGAGTTTGGCAAGCGGATTTTGTTTCTGACCGACGGGATGTCCGAGGTCCTGGCCCTTGAGAAGGGCCGATCGTCGAGCGTGGCCTTAATGAGAGTGTGCAGGCAGTGGGCGGCGACGGTGTTTGCGGCCGATTTGTATCCTCGAGTTCGGTGGATTCGGTCTGAGTTGAATGTGGCCGATGAGCCTTCGCGTCGCTATCAGCCGAAGCCATTTGGGCTCAAACCTGGACACTTTCGGCCTCCGCCAGGTCTATCCGAGCCGGATGGCGACCGGCCTCCCGCGACCATTCGCAGGTGCTCCGACCCTGCCGTCTTCGGGGGATGTGGCTCTGGCGACCGGCAGCCTGGCGAGGCCAGGCGGGTCTGCGAAGCGGCGACCTGTGCAGGGCGAGCCGCTCACCCTGTCGCGAGCAGCGGCGCTGTCCAAGGTTGGTCCGCGGCCGCGGCCGACCCAGAGGCAAGCCCGGGCGAAGGCATCGGCGAGACCCGCCAAGCCTCGGCCCGAGGTGCTGGCCACGAGGGGGGAGCGGGCCGCTGTCCGGCAAGCGAAGTTCCCCGAGGACAAGCGCGCGACAGATGGCGAGGGCCTCTCGCTGCTCGAGAGGGAGAGCGTGGGCGACCACAACCAGCGGGTCTACCAGTCGGTGCTCGTGGAGTTCAGGGCGTTCTCCAAGACCCTGGGCCTGCGCCTCAAGGCCGCTCAGGACTACGACGAGGCAGCCGTGGAGTGGGCCCACCACGCGTTCTTCGACGGCGGCGACGCCCAGGAGGGGACAAGGCTCAAGGCGGTGCTGCTGCACTACTACCCGCGGCTCCTGTCCGTCGCCGGACTGCCCCGGTTCAGCCGAGCGCTGAAGGGGTGGAGGCGACTGGTGCCGCCTCGGAGCCGGCTGCCGCTGCCATGGGAGGTCGCCTGCGCGGTGGCAAACAAGCTCGTGGCGAACCAGGACCTGCACGCTGCCCGCCTCATCATCGTGATGTTCGTGTTCTACCTGCGTCCCGTGGAGCTGATGTCGCTGACCGGGCGGCAAGTGGTGCCGCCGGTGCGGGCGGCAGGTCACGATGCGTGGTCGCTCGTGCTGTTCCCCATGGAGGAGGAGACGCCCAGCAAGACCAGCGCTTTCAACGAGAGCGTGCTGGGCGACCTGCCGTTCTACCGCTTCATCGGCGACGTGCTGAAGCTGCTCAAGGCCGGCGTCGACGACAAGGGTCTCGTGGCCCAGGTGCGGCACGTGCAGCTGGCACAGGCGTTCCGCACGGCGGGCCAGCAGCTGGGCCTCGAGGGCCCACCAGGCCTGTACCAGCTGCGACACGGCGGAGCGTCCGCCGACCTGGCCAGCGGCCGCCGCGGCATCGCGGAGGTGAAGGCCCGCGGCCGCTGGGCCAGCGACAGCTCGGTGACGAGGTACGGCAAGGGAGGCCGCATCGCCGACCAGCTGGCCAAGCTGCCGCAGCCGTTCCTCGACCACGCCATCGCCTGCGCCAAGAAGATTGGCGACATCCTCTGCGAGCGCTGCCGGCCTTTGCCGCCCGTGCGGGCGGGGCCGTAGCGCTCGAGGTGTTCAGCGGCTCCGGCAATCTCAGCCGAGCCTGGCGACGTCGCCAGCATGTTTTGGGCTATGCCATTTTTGAGTGGGACATCCGCTGGGGAGATGAGTATGACCTCACTCGCCAGCGGGTGCAACGCCTGGTGCGAGGATGGGTCAACAACGGGCTGATTGCTGCTATCTGGCTGGGCACCCCTTGCCACAGCTGGAGCCGTGCACGGGACATCCGCCCAGGGCCCCCGCCCTTGCGGAGTGACCTGCACGTGATGGGGTTGCCCGACCTAGCGCCTCGTGACGCTGAAAAGGTCAGGGTCGGCAACGCCCTGATGAAGTTCTCAGCCTCGCTGTTTATGCTGTGCCAAGCCGTGCGCGTGCCGGTAGCAATCGAGAACCCTCACATGTCTAGAATTTGGCTGACGCCTCAATTCATTAGATTGCAAAGAAAATGTCGCTCTGTCGTGTTGGATTTCTGCCAGTTCGGCCAGTCTTGCCGAAAGCGCACTCGCATTATATACGATCACGTAGACCTCCAGCCGTTGCATTGCCTCTGTCGAGGCCCCCGCGGGATCTGTTCCCGCACGGGCCGCCCGCATGATCAGTTGCAAGGAAAAAGTGCTGACGGCGTTTTTCGCACGCTCCTGGCCGAGGCTTATCCAGCTGATTTGTGCACTAACATCGTCCGATGCTTCCAGCTCGCGCTTGCCGAAAAGAAGGTTCAGCGAATACAGAGAATTTGGTGCGGCTGAAGCCAGTAGCGTTTTTGGAAGAAGAGTTGTTCTGTGCAAAAAAGAGTTGGTGCCCGCTTAGCTTGATGTTAAGCGTTTCCTCGAGCTCGAGTCTGTGTGATCTGTGATTGCAAAGTCGGAAGACTTGTCGACACCAGAGATAGCATCGCTTCGCACTCCTGGCGGAAAATGGGCTGGGCGTTTCATTTGTATAAGCTTGCTGATTAATGATATGCAAAAGACCGAAACACGCCGTCAACACCGATCTGTAGTTTTTCCTGGCCAACCGTCTGCCCCACCGCCGCCCTCTCCTTTTAAAATTGCAGAACAACATGGTTCAGGTGCCCGCTTAGCTTGATGTTAAGCGTTTCCTCGAGCTCGAGTCTGTGTGATCTGTGATTGCAAAGTCGGAAGACTTGTCGACACCAGAGATAGCATCGCTTCGCACTCCTGGCGGAAAATGGGCTGGGCGTTTCATATATATATATATATATCGATACGCATGTACGTGTCATTCCATATGTATATACGTATCCTTTCAAGTGTATAAACATATACACACATTTATATATGCGCATGTGTGTGTTCTCCTCGTCCTTGTGTGTGTTCTCATCCTCCTGCCTGTGTCCTCCGCCCTCCAGCGTTCTTTTTGGTTCTCATCCCAGCCCCCTCGTCTTTTCAAGCCCTGCGGGGCCGCGCTCGAATCCCGCTGGCCCAGTCCGCCTGCAAGCGGCGGCATGTACAACATCGCCCGCCTTCCTCCTCTTCGCCCTCCGCTCTCTCGTTCCTCCCTCCTGCTGCTGATGTGCCCGGCTTCCAGGGCGGGGAGCATGTCTCTCCTGCCCTGCAAGACCTATGTCGGCGTTCACATTTTGTTTGTATAATCCGTGCTTCGTTTTCGGGTGAGTCTTTGCTCTGTGCCGTTTCCTGCGTCCTCTTGCACCTCCTCCCTCCTTACAGTCCCCCCTCCCCCACCGAGACCCCGATGCGGCGATGGCCCCGCCGCGACGAGGCTGTCCCCGCAGCTGTCCAGCGACGTCGTCGTGCACTACACCGCGTGGAAGGCTTCCACAGGTCGCCGCCCCGCCCCCGATTCCTCCTCCTCCTCCTCCTCCTCCTCCTCCTCCTCCTCCTCCTCCGCCTGGTCCTGCCTCTCGTGGGGCAGCCCTGGACCTGCGCGCGCCGCGCGCAGCAGTCACGGCGGGAGGCTCTCGGCCGTGTTCGGCCTCCGGGGGGCCTCGCCGGGCTCCGGGGCCGCCAAGAGACCGCTCGGGATGCAACACCAGCCGACCGAGCCCGAGCCCGGGCCAGGTGTCGTTCCCCAGTCGGTGCTTGCACTGAAGTCGACTAGACGTAAGGGTGACCTTTCGCCTGAGTGACCTTTGGTGCGGGCACAGATGGGTCCCCAGATGGCTGAGAGCGAAGCAGGAGCAATGGCTTGCGCGCCCAGGTCGCGGCTCCCAAAAAGCCGCGCACCAAAGGTCACTCTTACCCAGGGTCACTCTTACGTATAGCCGATCCTAGCAGAAGTTGAAAGATTTGGCCGAAGTTTCCCGCCGATTTTGGTAGCAGGCTGGGTGCCCGGGTTCCCGGGGTCCCGGTTATTGCTTCTGGGCCGATTTCGGTGGGTTCTGGGTTTCCGGGCTCCTGGGTTCCGGTGATCTCTTCACCGAAAACCATTATTTGATTGGGGTTTTTCTTTGGTGTCGTTGGTTTAGTGGTCCAAGGGTTGCTTTGACCCGGACTTGCGTGCAGGATCTTGAAGGATCCTGCAGGATTTTGCAGGATCCTATAAAAGCCCGACTGACCCGGGGTTAGATCGACCCAGGTCAGTGGATCCCCGGTTTCCACCGCCAGAGTGTGGCCACATCCCCGGGGACCCCGAGGAGTGGTGGATGTGGATATTCTCCCATCTTCAGGGGAGGAGGAGGAGGAGGAGGAGGAGGAGGAGGAGGAGGAGGAGGAGGGAGGGAGGACGAGGGAGGAGGAGGAGGAGGAGGAGGAGGAGGAGGAGGGAGGAGGCGAGGAGAGGGGAGAGGAGGAGGAGGACGCAGGAGGAGGAGGAGGAGGAGGAGGAGGAGGAGGAGGAGGAGGATGTGGACAGCCCTTGCGGTGAGCTCCTCCGGCCCCTTCCGCTCCGCGCTCGTGCCTCGTGCCTCGTGCCTCCATCGGTCTGCCTGCGCCCCCGCGCATTCTTGACCGCCGTAGGAGGAGGGGGAAGAGGAATAGGAGGAGGAGGAGGAGGAGGAGGAGGAGGAGAAGGGGGAGGAGGAGGAGGGAGGAGGAGGAGGAGGAGAAGGAGGAGAGGAGGAGGAGGAGGGGAGGAGGAGGAGGAGGAGGAGGAGGATGCGGAGGAGCAGGGGGAAGAGGAGGAGGAGGAGGAGGAGGAGGAGGAGGAGGAGGAGGAGGCGACGCCGTCGTCTGACGAGGGCAAATCCGTCCCAGAGCGTTCCAGAACGCTCTCAGAGCGTCCCGGAGCGCTCCGAGAAGGCCGCGGCGTCCGATACGCGCTCCAGGAGTGATCCTCTTCCGAATCTGTCCTCGTTCTGGCTTCGTCTTGCTCTCTTGCGGCCGCTGGCCAAGAATTGTTGGCCCCGCTTCTCTGGCCCGTGCCCCCGGCGCTAACGTAGGTTGACGGTTTACCGCTGGCGCCCAGTAGTTATACGGTCGTAGGGCTGAATGCCAATAAAAACCATGTGGCGCGAGAGTCCTTAAAGACGGACGCCAGGGCCAGATTGGGGAGGAAGTCGTTCCGGAGGCAAGCGGTTGCTGCGAGTAGTCAAGGATTCGGTGCCCTTTTAGTGCTAAGTCGGGCCTGTCCCTCTACAGGAGGAATATTCCAAAATAGTGAAAAAATAGTCTGGGGACGATTTGCGCGACTATTTTTGAGCAGTTTCCGGGGTATTAATAATTCTCCGTCCAAAATCCGCCTGCAGGGTTGGGTCGGGCATTTCCCCCTACAAAGGGATTTGGACGACACAAACAAGAACACCCCCCAACTATTCAAAATATGTAAAAACATTGTCGAAAAAGGGGCCCCTTTTTATTTTTCCCCACATCCTAAGGTGGGTTTCTTGTTATTACTCGGACGCCGCCGACTCCAGAGAGAACATACCTACTCATACACAGACTTACTCATACTCATACCTACTCATACTCATACCTTCCCATGGTCTGACTTACTCAACACACAACGTGCAGGCCTACTCGTACTCAGACTTATTCATGTTGGGGCTCTTTCATACGAGACTTACTCACACCCGGACTCGTTCCCATACCTGCTCATACACAGACTTACTCATACTCATACCTACACACACTCAGACCTTGTCATAGTCTGTGTTACTCAACGCACGGATTGAGACCTACGCATACTCAGACCTAGTCACATTCAGATTCGCAAGGGGAGCCGGCAGGGGTGTTTTTCACGGGCCCGTTCGCGGCCAGTATGTGGGGATGTCTCAGGCGGTCTGCTCGTTTTCATGCCCGACATCCTTGGCTTTCAGAGCAGATTTTGAGGACGTCCCAGGCGGGGCGCTAGTTTCAGCGCTAAGGCGAGCCGCCAGGGGGTACGACACGGGCCCGTTCGCGGCCAGTTTGCGGGGACGTCTCAAGCGGTTTGCTCGTTTTCATGCTGCGAGGAAGGATATGAGGCGCGCTGCCCCCTTGGATTGTGTCCGATGCCAAGTGCGGGCGGCCAGAGCCGAGGCGCAAACCGCAAGGGTGCCATGTGTAGCACTTGCCTTTAGCACTGCTCCTTGGGTGCTTTTGGACGCGGCGCCACGGGAACTCTTAGCCTCTGAAGCGCATCGAGCATCTTTATCCCTTCGAAACGTAGTCCGGTAGGAATCATCATTGACGCAGTCTTGGTCGAAGCGGAGGTCGCCCATCGGACCCAGCATGTCTATAGTCACTGAACGCAGACTCACTTCTTCGGTCGCAAACTCCCATGCCTAGCACGGCGCCGCGGACGGGGGGAAAACAACGAGGTCTCCAAGGCGCTGGGCGCGGTTCCGCCGACATTCGACAGGGCTTCCTGCGAATTGCTCTAGGGACGGCGCCAGGGAGTGCAAATCGAGGCTCGACCACTGCGACGTCCTCGGGGGCAAGCGCTGCCGCTGTCAGCGCAGACGCGCGTTTTGCTCGGGCGCTCGACGGCCTTCTGGCATGGCTGGCTTCTGTGGGCGGAGCTTCGACTGTCGGAGCATATTGCGCAGATTTGGGCAACTTCGCAGCAACGGAGTTGGGCCTGTCGCCCACGGAAACAGAGGCGGCCATATCTCAATTGTTGGATGACGGCGCCGTTTACGATACGACCGATAAACGCATCCAGGTGCTGGAAGGGCACGGCTCTTATTCCAGCGCGGTTGCGAAAGAAGGCGACGGCGTCAACGGGGCGCTGGGCGACGCGCGGGACATCGTGGAGGGGGCCGACCAAGAGTCCGACATGGTACAGCTGACAGATATGAGGCCACAGACGTAGTGATTCGCGTCGTGCCTCTGGCCCTTCGCCCCGATGCCAAGCGCAGAAGGCTTCTTTTTGCGTTGCCAGCTAGGCCCGATGCCAAGTGCGGACGGTCAAAGCCGAGGCGCAAACCGCGGGGGTGCCATTTGTAGCACTTGTCTTCTGCACGTCATATACATGCGACTTCTGTTTGCGTTGCCAGCTAGGCCCGATGCGAAGGGCGGGCGGTTAAAGCTGAGGTGCAGGTCGCGAGGTGCCGCTTGAAGCATTTGTCATTCGTGATCCCCCTGGCGCTTCGGGCGCGGCGCCGACGGAATTCTCTGCCTTGATGACAAAAACAACCAGATGCGCGCGCATATGCACGTTAATGAATGCATGCGCGCGGTGGATGTGCAGCCGCGCTGCGCGCGCGTGTGCTCGCCGTTCACATGGGCGCGTTCGTGGAGCAAACAACTATCATGGACAAACGCTCGCCGTGGCACTGTCTTACAACACGATATGCACATATGGCCTTGCGCGGCTAAACGGCCGTTTTACATATCCCACCGCGAACTATCCTCAAACATACGCGCGCTATCACAGGCTGAGGAGGGCACGGCCTGGCAGCTGAGGAGGGGGAATGAAGTGGAGGCTCGTGTCCAATCATACTAAAACTCACTCTGACTCATACTCACTCACTCGCATTAGGATACACTCGACTTGGTCGGCCCTGTCGCCCATGTGGACGCGCCATTATAGTCAATCGCTCATGAACAGACGTTCGCTATCGCATGGTATAAAGCATGAGATGCACGTGTGGGGAGCTCCACGCAGTGAGTAATTTGACTATTTTTGAATTTCCCCCCTGTAGAAGGACAGGCCCGACTTAACGGTAATGGGGACATGCCCGACCTCATTTTGGTGCCGGGCGCCCTGGTGCCCCCCCCCTCTCCTCGGCCACGCGGGGCCGAGCGGGAGCGGGGGGCGCGAGCGGGCGGGGGAGCAGGGGTCGCAGCGCGGGGCCGCGGACGGCTCCTTCGCGGCGCGCAGCGGGCGATGGCGACGATCAGGGGAAAAAAACACACAGACACAATTAATCGTCGATCCCCCAATAACATGGGAAAATATGGGAAGTGGGGGGGAAGACAAAAGCCCAGTATATATATATATATATATATATATATATATATATATATATATATTATATATATATATAGAGAGAGGAAAATATGGGGAATCCTGTTTTTTGTGTCGATGTATTCGTGTGTCCCGGGGCCCCGAAGCGATCGAAGCAGGGAAGGGAACCCAGGGTGATCGTTTTTATTCGTCGCGTTGCCAATCGGCGCGGGCCCTCGAACCCCCCTCCCCCCCCCATGGAGTTGATCTTGGCTGTTTCCGGCGCCTGTTTCGAGCGGGCGGAGCCTCCGCCATGGGGCGCGCGCTTGCAAACAGTCGCCCCCAGCAGAGGTCCGGAGCCAGATCCCCCCCTTCCCCCCCCCTTCCGCCCAATGTCGAAACGCGCAACAAGAAAATGCCCGCATTCCGCTGCTCTGGCTCCGCTTGCGCCTCCCAGGGCCTCCTGGGAGGCCCTCGTCGCCGCCCGCCGGACTCGCCTCGAAGTGCCGGTCAG